GACCGACAGACCGACAGACCGACAGACCGACAGACCGACAGACCGACAGACCGACAGACCGACCGACCGACCGACAGACAGACAGCCAGCCAGCCAGCCAGGCAGGCAGGCAGGCAGGCAGACAGACAGACAGACACACAGACACACAGACACAGAGAGAGAGAGAGAGACTGATTGACTGATTGGTTGGTTGATTGATTGGTTGATTGGTTGATTGATGCAATAATATGCAATAAGAAAGGGGGTCCCGGTTTTTGTACTGTAGGGCATCCAGTTCGGCACATGCAAGGGCAGATCCCAATCACTACCTCTCATTGCTGATTGAGACACATCGGCGCTGGCCGTGGCAGGAATTGCTACAATCTCCTACCCTTAATCCGACAAACATGGAAGTGAACAAAGATCCCAGGGTGCGCCCTTTCTCAAAGGCCTTCATCAACCAATTCTTTAAAAGCAGTGGAACAGAGAGATGGCTCAAAGCGAAGGCAAGGGTTGATTGTACTTGGTTGATCAATGATGATCAACTGATTGAGTCATCAATACTGCTTGATTGATGATACCCTGGAGTCAAGGACTGTTTGAAATAATACTTTACTTCGAGTGATCCCCTCATATCCTCACCCTGACATGTCAATCATTTGTTTTCATGCCAGGAGCATGTTGCCATGGTGGTGGGTCTTGTGGTTTTGATTTTGCTTGCGTGTTTGTGGTTGTGCTTTGTGTATTGTGGTCGTGTTTTGTTGGTTGTGTATCGTGTTTTTTTGGTTGTGTATTATTGTGTGTTTGTGGTTATGTTGTGGTTGTGTGTTGTGCGTTGAGGTCCGGCAGTACCCACTGCGATCTGGCACTTGCGGTTGAGGTCCGGCAGCCCACTGCGCAGTTGAGATCCGGTATACATGCCCACTGCGATCTGACACTTGCAGTTGAGGCGCGTAGTCAAGGAGACGAGAAGAGGAAAGGAGAGGAGGGGAGAGGAGAGGAGAGATGAGAGGAGAGCCTCGATAAAACCTGGCGGGTGGGGAAGGATTTTAAACTTCAGTCATCAGTCAAAATTTAAATGTAGCCTTTGCACTTCTAGGCGGTATAGATGGTGTATGATGGCTAGTCATGGCCTGAAACGCCGACAGCCGAGTCGACTGAAGCAGAATCCAGTTCAGGAGATCAAGCCCAACGCTCCCAATTTGGAGGGCAAGATGGACTCCCTCGGGGTGGGGCATCAGAGGGGAGGGGACGGTGACACAGGGTGGGGTGAGAGTGTGAATTCGTAACCCAGCGGATCCGGCTACTGCTTATATAAGAAACCAGGGTTAGGTCTATGGCTATGGCTTTTGTTTTGGGAACCACTGGTAGCCAGCTACAATAGTGGTAACTGGATGCCCTGGGTAAAGAACGAGAATATCAAGCGCATCTGTGGCTGTGGGTCAATATTCCCAGAACGTATAGGTTGATTTGTTTTGACACCGCAAGTTTGGTATTTTGGTTCACTCCAGTTCCATAATTCATTGGGAAATTTTTTGAAACGTTTTGACGTCTCCAGTTTTGACGCTCTGGACTCTTGACTGGGGCACCGAATTGGCACCCCGTTCCGAACTGGAAGATGGGTTCCTGGCCAATCCTTGCCAAACGTCCGAGGTCCAATTTGTTGGGATTGTGCCGCAGTCCAGCCCCATGGTGGGTTTGTGAGAGTTTCGGAGGTTTCCATGAAAGCACTCAGGGACTATATACATCATCTCGTTAGCTAGCTGACCCGCTGCGAATCCATTTTTTGGCCCTCAGGTGAAGCTCAAAGGCGGCTACACCTTGTCGGAGCTGGTCGTCTCCTCACCCGGAGAAGCCAAGCATTTAGTCACCCGGAGAAGTTACCCGCCCAGCTTTGACTTGGCGTGAGCGATGGGGTTGCACTTTAAGGTGAAAAATTCATGAGCAGTGAAATGGGTTGACTTCTCCATGCCCCAAATGCTCCCTTTTTTCGAGGTGTTTTGTTTTGGGGAAGGTTGTTTCTTTCCCTCCGGCCCATGCCATGACATCGGATCCTATAGTTTCCGCAGTTGCCAGAATTCCAAGGCTGTTTTAAAAGTTGCATACAAAAGAGGCCGTCGGGTTCAAAGGACGCTTTTTCTAGATCTGCTTGACTTGGTCGATCTCGGAGGTGTCCATGGGACCGTCGGACGGCCGCTTAAGGTCTCCATCTCTCCGTGCGGATTGGAAGGACGGCTATCCGTCGAAAGGTACGAGTAGCTAAGGACCTCCCAGTGGTTGAGCCAAAACGATCTCCGTCCGGCGCAGCTTGCGCAGGGAATTCGCTCAGTTGTTTTGATGTCGACAGATAGGTCGAAGGTGATGAGTTTTGTGATGGCTTTGGTTCAGAGCTCAAGTTCTTATGGAGATTGAGAGATTATGCCGCCCAGTTTCTTGTGGGGTGATTGTGTTTTTTTTTTTCAGGAGTTCATTACTACAGCTGCGGCGTGAGCCCCAAGATCGTGCACTCCGAGTCCTTCGAGGAGGTCTGGAAGAAAGGCATGGAGTGGACCCCGTTCGAGGTCGCTCACGCCTTCGAAGCCGTCGACTGCTACTAGTAACAAGTGCATCGCTACGTTCGTAGCTTGGTTACTGTAGTAATGCCAGGAGCTACGTTCGTAGCTTCTTGTTACTACAGGAGCTACGTTCGTAGCTTCTTGCTCCGTTCGTAGCGATGCGCTTTGTTCATTTTGTTGCTAGTAGCTTCTTCCCTAGGGATCCCTAGGGATCCGGTCGTGCCTTCTCAGCAGGTGATTGGAGACGGTGCCAGGAGGGTCCGGTCGTGTACCTTCTGAGGTTCGGTAAGACTGGATCCCTAGGGCTTGTTACTGGCTGATTCGACTCGACACTATGGTCGCCAACGGGGTCCCTCCGACCGTCCTCCGTCCCTCCGCGTCTCTTTGTTCTTCTCCTCACGGCGACGACGGAAGAAGACGTGGGAGAGAACGAGCCTCGTGTCGCTGATGGTTTTGGAAAGAATCTTCCGTGCCGTTGGCATGATAGAGCCAGAGAGACATCGTTTATTTGGAAAGCGTTGGTTTTGAGATGTTTTGAGTCAACGAGCCTCGGATTTCGTGGGAGTTACGTCATGTCGGCCGCTCGCTCGGCTCGACATCGCTCTTCGAGACCTGGACCTCCAGGTCAGCTGCGCAACAAGAAGGACGGAAACGACGGAAACGACGGGACTGGGAGCATGTTCGGTCGAAATGGGGTGCGCAGACTGAACCTCTGTGCTTGGGGGATGGATGGTAAGCTCTGCGGGGGTCTAGGGGAAACCAGTTGATGTGACCCATGCAGCCACAGGCCTCAGGCATTTTTAGAATTAGTCTTTGTATGTCTTTAAGAATGGATGTGATTCTCAGAGCTGGCGGCCAAAGACCTGCGAGAAAGTCGACATCGGACGCTGCTTGGCGGCATGGTCCTTTGACTTGGCAGCATCCGCGACGTTGACCGCGGTGGCGCGGCGCGGCACCGCGGTGTTGGAGCCGGGCTGCGAGGTGTTGGAGCCAGATCCGATCGAGCACAAATTTTGTCGCCAGCCCAGATCCAACACAAGGAACAAGAACGGTGCAATTTCTGTTTGCACCTTCCCCTGCCTAGCAGACAAAAGCCTTCTCCAGGCCACAGCCGGCAAGAGCAAGCCGAAAACTGCTCCTCGGAACCAGTTTGGAGTGTCCAAAGCCCTGCGAGGATCGTCCAGGACTGGAAATCAACTTCCTAGGGATCCGGTCGTGCCTGCTCAGCAGGTGATTGGAGACACCGCTATGTAGGCGCCACTAGTGGCGCCACTGTAGGTGCCAGGAGGGTCCGGTCGTACCTTCTGAGGTTCGGTACGACTGGATCCCTAGGGCTTGGAGAAGACAGCTGGAAGTTTCACTTCCAAAGGCTCAGAGTTTGGACCGTCGGCGGTACCAGTCTGAGCTCCAGAACTGGGAAGCGAAGCTCCAGAACTGGGACTCGCCGAGCGTCGGAAAGCACGGGATTTGTTTTGCTTGGAATTGGTTCATCTCACATGCCCGGTGCCTCATTTGTAGGGAAGGTCGCTGATGACCTAGCTTTGGAATGCGGGTGTGTGTCACCCTCCGTCTCTGGGAGTTTGTTTATCGCAGGGGGCCATCCCCCTCCCCAGTGGCGGATGGCCAACGAAGAGGCCAGTGGGGAGGGCTGCAAACGTACCTGCGAAACTTTTGTCCACGCTGTGACTCCACTTTTCCTGGTTTGTTTCCATGGTGGTTCTTCGCATGATATCCCCTAAAACAGGTTTCCTTGCACGCCGCTAATTCAGTCTGCTAAGTAATCAGTAACTAGTTTTCTGCAGTCACGCGTTAACCTTTGTTCAAACACCTTCAAGTACTCTGACTCTTCGCCGCCTTTCGGTTCACTCTTTCCTTTCCTTGCTCTGCTAAGTATTCAGTAACTATAGTGATCTGCAGTCACGCATGAACTCCTTTGTTGAAGCACCTTCAACTCACTGGACCCAGCCGCCGTGCCGTTCCATCATTCATTTCACTGTGGATTCTGACTAACTGCAAACCCAATGACTAAGTGTGTGCCACCCTCCGTCTCCAGGAGTTCATTCCATGATTGCCCTTTCTCCTTTGACCCACGATGCAACGCAGGGGCGTGTGACAGTCTTGTCCTATCACACGCAACGAAGCTGTGGATAAGAGTGGGAAAGGAAACTTCGCCAGTTTCCTGTACCCGCGCCGTGACAGTACACCAATTTTCCCTGCCGTGTTTTGATGCCATGGTCCTTCCATGATAGACCCCAAAATCGTTTTTCCACCGCTGTGCAGCTGCCCGCTGCCGCTTTCAGTGATTTTCTGAGCGCTTGAAACACCTTTCATGTCTCGGACTCACCCGCCTTTCCGTTCCATCATCCATTTCACTGTGGATATCCCCCTGTGCATTTCCACTATGGAATGGCAGTGCTCAAGCCCCTATATAACTATGTTTTTTACATAAAAATCGTGTCCCATGATGACCTCGTGTGCTTGCATATTGTAGTGATTAAAGTGTTTTGTGAACAAATGTCACCAGCCACCATCATTTAGTAGTGACAATTTGTGGCAAGAACATGATGACATCATCTGCCTGGGCGGACATTTTATAGTGGGGTCTTGTTTGGATCCAAGTCATACCAAATCCATTTTGTAGTGGAGGCCATTTCAAGTGTGTTTTCAAAGAGCAAGGTTGGACGCTGTCATTTTGTAGAGGTGCCTTTTTGAACGATAGTCATTTTGTAGTGGAAGCACTTTTTGGTGAACAACGGCTGCATCTGACACGTGGCTTCAGCTTTGGTCGCCCCTGGCTGGCCAGCGTGTTGGCTGGCTGGGGGCGTTAGGGCACAACGACGTCACCATAATTTCGTTAATTTCGACGACGTCACTAATTTCAGTTTTGAATTTAACGAAATTAACCGACGACCCAGGAATTATTTTAAATTGCCCTATATCATATTTTCATGATCCAAGACGAGTGCACTACAAAATGTTTTTCAGTGTTTTGTATGTTTTTGGTTTTGAGAGGTTGAGGGTCGGGCCAGGCATTTTCTAGAGCATTTTCAGCTTGACTTGAAACAGACTCCTAGTGGCTGTCATCACTAGAGGTACCTTCATTCTATAGTGTTTTTTTCCAGGTCCTGGCATTTTGTAACACCAAACTCCGCGTCCCCACTTTTATAGCTATAGAATGGGGGGACCAACGTCACCCCGTTATGTACAGGGGGATCTGTGGATTATAACCATGGTACATCTAAAGACCAGCTTAAATGAATTGAAATATGTTTTTTTGTGTTGGTGGAGTTCCCCACACCCTTTGCATGGCCTAGAAAGGGGAGTCGAACCTACCTTTGACAAAAAGACCACGTGTTGCAGTCTTTGGCCGCGATGGTGGGTTGAAAATGGTTGAATCATGTCCGTGACCTGGCCCTAGACTCCAATTTCACCCGATGCCACCCAAGTTCACCTCCTGGAACCCCTGTCCTCAACTGCTTCCCACGACCCCATTGGCAGGATGAGTTGCCCTTTTTGCGACGGATTTTCTTTGACACCCGCCAGCCTCACGAGTCGGGCCGCGCCGTTCCACCGCCCAAGCTGGACGAGGCCCGTCCGCCTGAAGCGGCCGAAAAACGGCGGAAGCACGTGTATCGCCCACTGTGCACGTTGTGGTCGGAGGATGTGGTCCATGATTCTGACCGGGGGGGTTGGGAAACCTAACTGCCATTACATCCAGATAGGGATCCACATGCCCTCTGAGAAGGTGATTGGACCATATTAGATCCTCCAAAGCTATGGCTCAATCGGGCAAACCCTCCGGAAACCCCAGCAAAAAAACCTACGTCAAGGAGTCTCCATTCACCTTCTCGGAGGGTGGAATGTCTAAGGGCATATAGACAGTGGTATAGACATTGCCGTTTGAAAGACGCTTTGAGAACGTTTGTGACATTCCCTAGGCCCATAGGCCTCCAAGTGCGTTCTGAGAAGGTGTTTGGGGTGGGTTTGGAGTTGATGGAAACATTCCATGTCAAGACACGTCTCCGGTGGCAGCCGCTGCGGTCACCCGCCAGCGATCCGTCAGGATTTGGAGCTGGAGGTACGGGCGCATCGGAGCAATCGCTGGGTGGCACTGGGACTGGAAGATGGAGCGAACCAGCGATGGACACTACGTTCGGAGCAAAGGGCATCGCTACGAACGGAGCAAGGACGCTACTAGGGGCTCCTGGCCTTCCTACTAGTAACAAGAAGCTATTAGGAACAAAAATTAGAATTACATATTTTTGAGTCGTCAATGTAGGCATCATATGCCAGTCCCATGGAGTGTTGACCATGTTGGAACGCACCCAACTCTTCCTGTTTGTTTGGGCATTTCTGCAAGCAGAACACGCCGGCTGCTCCAAGGAGTGGCCTCGGGGAACTTCCCAAGTTCGACAGCTTTTCGGATCAATCGCTCGATGAGTTCGACAGCTTTTCGTCATGCATTTTTTGCATTGGTCATGCACGTCGGTTCATGACGACAACGTGTTTGGCATGCATCTGAGCTTTGTTGATTCATCGGGTTTGATTGTCACCTGGTCAGAATGATATTGAATGTATATTTTGGGGAGGTGCACCTCAAACATGTATTTATATTCCACACCCCTCGCCTCTTATAGTGTTAGACCCAGTGTGGATGTTTGATTGCTTGCCTTCGTCCACCTCGCTTCGTCCGCCACCCCGAGACGCAGGCGGTCGAGGAGACGGAGGTATCGGAGGTGTTTGAGACTTGGGCGAAAAGTCTTAAGAATCTGGATGTGGGCCATGTGCACCTACCAGCACCCGACTTCACAGGTCACCACCGACTGTCTTTGTCAGCAAAAGCCTCCCTCCGGGAGGGTGCTGCTAGGGTGTGTCAAGGTTGGTCCTTCTCTCAACTAACTTGACGCTACTTGTGTTTTTTCATCTTTTCCCTCTCCAATGCTGATATTCTCAAGGTTCCTGTTTGAGACATCACTTTTAGTATATTTTAGTGAATTCATTTTGATTTCGTTGTGCCACAAGAGGTCTTTGAGCAACTCCCAACCAGAAGGTTCACCTGGCAAGCATCACAAACTTGATAGACTGACGGAACACACACCCACACACACAAAAGAAGAACACACACTATATTATAGTATATAACCGGGTGGCTGGGTGATCCAAAACTGTTCCTTCATGTTCCAGCTATATGCAGTCGTTTGAATTGTTAGATAAGAACAATATAGTATAACAGTAAACATTATGTACAAACAGTTTGGATCACCTAAGCAGCAACTTTTGAACCCTCCACCTGGCACAGGCCTCCGCCCTCCGCCCTCCTCCGCCGCCCCAGGACACGGATGCGCACCTGGCCTCCGAGGCCGTCGCGCTGCGCCGCGCCGAAGCGGCCGCACTGGCGGAGCCGGAGCCGGCGTCGGCACCAAGGCTGGTGCCATCGCATCGCGGCTTTGGCTGCAGCCGTGCTGCCGTACTCCGCGATGAGGGAACAGAATGATTTTAAGATGGCTAGTCGGCTGATGTTTTCTCCATGTCGAGCTTGACTTGCAGCAGAAATCGGGTCAAAACAACACCATGGCCATGTGTTTTGTTTGTTAAGTTTATCACCTACATAGACGTTTCCACTGACCCAGAATCATCGCATTTGGATTGTCAGGTATGCCGCTTGGCCCCAACATTAATTAACCTTAAAAGTCCAGTGATGATAAAGTATTTCACTATGTTTCGAATACAGAAGAGCCGGCCGGGCTGCTTGCAAGTGAAGCGACCGGCACAATTCGAGTCCAGATTATGTTCATGAACCTCCGACATGTTCCAGTGTTTTCTCTGAGGATCCAGAAGCCAAGACCCAAGGGACATGTGTTCACCTTGACGTCGGTTCACCTTTGCAAGCCGCGTTGTTCAGCCACTCAAGCTTCTAAACAGATTCAGGATCAAGACCTGTGATGGGCGTCTTCTACAGCCACCTGAAATGCACCAACAGTCACGTTTTCCAGTTTTTCAAGCCTGAATTATACTCAATTCAGGAGTGGGTGTTTCCTCTCCACCTCCTCACCTTTTGGTGCCTCATCCTTTGTCCGCCCCCGCCGGGACCTGCGCGCTTTCTTCTCCTCCGAGGCTCGAAGACTCGTGGCATCGGAGTCTTCGATCCCCACCTGGACCTGCGCGAGGCCGGCGACCCCGAGCGCCTGGAGCGCCACCACGCGCTCCCCGAGGAGTCCAGCGGCATCTATTTCCGCAGCTCCAGGCCGTTACCCCAGGAGAAGATGGGGTTGGCGCAGGTTTTGGCTGGGGGGGGCGGTGAAAACCATTGAAAACCATGCTACTCGTATCATTTTCACACAAGTGAGAATCACCGTGAAGTGCGTGGGCTTGAAGACCTTTACACGGAAATATCTTGGCTTTAACACGTGGTCGTCGGGTTCTAACGAAGTGAGCCGTATACATTGCGTCGCGTCACGCTCACCCGTGGTGCATCCGTTGCGGCCATCCGGCCACCGGTCCACACATCGAGCATGGTCCGCACATCGTCGTGCAGACGTCGTGCCTTCCGTGGTGCGTGACTCCGCACGCGGACTAACCCACAGCCTTCCGCACGAGCTCCACAGCCCATGCCTTCCATGCCTTCCAGCGCTCTGACGACTCGACGACTCGCTTGGCCTTGTCCGCGACCGACGACTGTCCCGGTGCGTCGCGAGAGTCCAGGACGAGGACTTTGTGAGCACCTTCCGGAGGCCCTTGAAGGCCGAGGCCTCTCGGCCTCCGGAAGAGCGTGGGCACGGAGCTGAGAAGGAGAGGAAAAATAGGACATGAGAATGAAGGAACATGAAGGAAACCAGAAGAACCCATCGTTTCGACATTTCTTCGTGCCCAGTGAGGGCCCGTCCGGAAGATATTGTCCAGTACGTCCAGTCCTGTCACCCCTCACGTGGCATTGTCCAGACATATCGAAGTTATTGTTTTTACTCCCTAGGGCTCCAGTCGTACCTTCGTTTCGAAGGTGTTTGAGGTGGGTGTGAGGAGGTACGACTGGAGCCCAAACGGGACGACACCGGCATGTGCATCGATTCATCGGCCGTAGACCTGCGATTGTTCCGAACAGGGAAAGCGACATCGCGTTGACAGTTCTACATGTTCTACCAATCCCAGACACTCCATGCCTACATTGACCCCCAAAACCACCCCAATGTAGGTAAATATGCCAGTCCCATGGAGTGTTTGGGAATCAGATTCTACTGGATCATTCCGTCTTTTAATCTGACACAATGTTTTCCACCTTTCGGACCTCCTCCGCGTTATGACACGCCGATGATGTAGCTCTGCAGAGTGTTGGTAGCTCGGTGCCGCTCGGTGCCGGAGGTCCGAGCTCCAAGCGGTTTCGTCGTCCAGTTATGACCATTCATGGCAGTGGAGTGGACACCACCCGTTTTGATATGACGATTTCATGGTCAAAAAGGTCTTGCCATCCACTTCCATACGCTTCCATGATAAAAAATATCAGGCAGTATAGGTGCCATTGCGATTTGTGCCCCATCCATACCCACCCATACCCTCATACCCTCCGCGCACATGACCCTTCCATTCCCGCGCGTGGTGAGACCGTCCGGTCAGGCATCCTCCAAGGATCCTTTGGGTGCGGCGGCGCCCCAGATTGATGTGGCAGCACTGAAGGCGATGAGCGAGGAAACGGTCTCATCCGAGCTGCCGGAGTTGGGAGAGATCGTCTTTCCCTCGCTGCCGGGAGCAGGCGGGGAGTGCCAAGTTTCGCAAAGTTGAACGAAGACTTCCATCACGGGACATTTTGTCATTCTTTCGCATAACATCTAAACATAAATCTAAACCTGAGGTGAACTTTTGGTAGATCATGTTCAATGTTCCTTGGGAGGGTCCTGTGGACTCTTGAATGAATAAGACACCCCGCAGTCGCACAAGGCTTTACAATCCAAATGGGTGGCGTTTACAAAGCAACATTTGAGGGTAGATGGCACAATCATGGCACAATATCTTCAACATTGAACACGTGAAAAGACATCCATGGGATGCCAGTGCATGTTTGTGCCATCTATTCTGAGACCACTGTGAATATATATATATATATGCATATCATTGCGTAGAGGACATGATTGACACAGCATGGCCCCCAGGCGTCATGACACACCGTCATGACTCAAGGCGCACCGCCCGCTCTGCGATCCCGTGCGAGCCCGAGCGGGACTCGGCCAGCGCAGCGGGTGAGACAGCTGCCGTTGGGCACTGCAAAGCAGGTGCGGCGAGTGGAAGAGAGGTCCAATAACCCAGACCGTCCAGGTATGGCACAGTCGGCTGGTTGAGTGTGGGATATTAAACTGACCGGACATTTTGATGAACTTGACAATGTTTGGTTTTTGGGTCCTCCCCTTTCCGATGGTCTTGCCAGGAGGGATGTGCTAGGTATGAAAGAGAGAACAAGGATGTACCACCCACAGTGCCAACGGCTGCTGAGACAGAATCACACAATCGCGCATAACTTTAAAATCGCTACTCCAGCAGTCACAAAGGGGTGCCGAGCTTGGAGGATAGGGGGTGCCCCTGTCACATCCACTCACTGAATGGGACTTAAAACCACCCCGGCCTGTGACTCCTGGCTGTACGTCTTAGGTTGATTGATCTGTGCCCTATGCATCCAATGGCCTCTCCCATACCACTGCAAAACCACTCATACCACTCGAGACCGGGACACCGGGATTCTCCGCGGGGAGGCTCGCCTGAAAGACGATCTGTCGGACCTCTTGAAGCCTGGAGACTCGCACCGCTCGACGGGCGGTCGAGGCGGTGTGGCCGGACGGTGTGGTCGTGGGACGCGGACGAGCCTTGGGGGTTTCCAACATCGAGATGATTCAGATCTGCAGGTGTTGAGGGGATTTGAGGTGTTTAGAGGTGCGGTTTTTCAGGGTCCATCTAAGCTCATGACGGAACATTCAAGGTAAGGTGTGGTATTTGAATCCATGTTCTCAAATTTTCAGAAGCGGAGCGGTGCTCCTCCTAAGGGGGGAAGTGAGACACATTGCATGCTGTTGGACCCTCCCAACAATTGGATGAGGCCCCCAGAATGAGAACCTAAATATATTGCTAAATCATGCTCAGGCCGTTGGTTGTAGGTGGGACTGGCACTGTCACACCAACGTCGCTCTGGTGGAAGTCAGCGGCGCCCAAGTTGCTCAGGAGCTCCAAGCTCAGCTGCCGGTGCTCTGCGACAGCGCCTGGGCATGGTCACTGAGAAGGAAAACCCGGAGAACCCCTGGCAGGAGCGGCGGCGACTGGAGTGGTGTTTTCTTCCACTTTGTACATCAGATGTTGACTTATACCCTGGGAGTCCAGGCAACTCTAAAAAGAATGGTCTGACTAGGTGACGAGTCTAGGAATGTCCTTTACTCCAGTCAGTCAAAATATCGTCAAACTGGACTTCTAGGGTATATCTAACACACCCCAAGGAAAACTCACATGGGAGTGGAGTTCGCTGCTTGGTCCTCGGAACGATGAAATCGGCCATTTTTTCTCCCATGATCAATCCATCTCCATTGCGTATTTCAGAACGATTTTAAGGGAGTATTGTAGGTGGTTGTTTATTTTCTTTCATTCGCAGTTTGGGAGGGAAATCCCAGAGGTGAATAAAGAGGCTGAAGACAGCAATGGAGAGAGGGGGAGAGAGAGAAGCAGAGCCTCGTCACTGCTGAGCCAAGTATGAAAAGTTCAGAAAGCTCATGTTTCCCAGACACTCCATGTATGCCATATATGCCTACATTGACCCCCAAAACCACCCCAGTGTAGGTAAATATGCCATACATGGAGGTGTTTGGGTTTGATTTGATTTGACTCCTCCACTTGCAGACCCCATCGTGGACTCTTGGACTGATCCTCAACCTCGCGCTGGGGTTCACCAAGAATTCGAGAGAGCAATCCCAATCCAAGCACATGGGTGTGCATTGAAACAGGGAGACCTCCCAAAAAAATATCCAAAGAAATTCTGGAAGAGGGAGTCTTAGACCTATAAAGATCTTTGTCAAATGCACACCCATATATGTCTAAACAGTTGACATTCCTTGGTGACCCTGATCAGGTGAAAGTAGAGTTTGGGAGATCAATTTTTGTTAAGCATCGATAGGTTGGGCACCTTGCCAGGTCGGTCCGCATCACCCAGGAGGCACCACATCCACGGGTAGCATTGTACCACACCAACACACGTACTTATCTGCAGCACCCGACCCTACAGGTCTCCGAAATGGAGGCTTTTGCTGACCAAAGACAGTCGCAGGTGGTGACCTGTGAAGTCGGGTGCTGGTATACGTTATACAATCTTGTACAGTTTACGCTGTTTGAGGGCAAAGATATTTGACAACATCAAACACTAGCTTTCATACACGAACTATAGTATCATAGAGAGGTCAGCCGCGAGGGGGATCCACAAATTCAAAGAATCGACACAAATCCTCTACATTGAAATCCAATACCGGTTCAATACCTATTATACCGGTATTCCGCCCATTTTGCAGGTATACCGGTATAATCATTCATCCAACATTCATCCTCACCGGTCCTTCCTACCGTTTTTGGGGTGTTTGAGCGTGACACCTGGCCGTGGGCCACTTCAAGTATAGACCTTGGTTGACCTACTGCCGGTTCACCTAGCCAGCTGCGGTGCCCTCCTCTCAGGGGGTTGGACCGAGCGTGACGTCGCTCCCGGTCACGCTCGCTCCGCGACACTGAACGACCCCGAGCGACCTTCCAACAGAGGTTCAGTGACCTGAACTAGGACCCGTCACGGATAGCCGAACTGGGATAGCCGAACGTTCGGGTTCTTCCACCGTTGGTCTCCAGGACCTCCAACGACCCAACTTGAAGGCCTCGGAGCTGCAGGAGCACCGGACGCTCGGAGAAGGGCGCTTTTTGCGGGACCTCGGACGACCGGTGCCCACGACGGGTGCCCGGACGAGTACGGTGACCTCGGGTGCGCAGGAGCGCAGGGCGGGGTGGCGGAAGGGGTGATTTTTTTGGGGGAAAACTGCGGAACTTCCAGACATTTGGAATGAAAACACTACCAGGGTGACGCCGATTTTTTGCAGATGGGATTGAATGACTGACTAATTGATCTTGGATTATACCAAAGAGGGCTGGGAAGCATCTTCATTGATTACAACAGCACCCGACAATAAACAGGTCACCCACCTGCCAACTTTTTCTTGGTCTCGATTTCACGGCTCAATGGGCATATAGACGAAGATACGCAACACCCAACACCCTGCCCAGGACCAGTCCTACAGAAGTCATGTCTATAGAACTGAGTTCCCCATAAATAGTAGTATAAATAGTATATAGTCATGGGACTGGTCAAATAAGCCAGCCCCCATACCAACACTCCCGGACCATCCCGGACTCCCTCTGTTCGGAAGCTTCCGGAACCGTCCGAAGCGTCCGCCCCGAGGAACTCGGCCATGGCGGCGCAACGGATGCTGTACAAGAGCTTGAAGCAGGGCAACCAGAAGTGGCGGCCAAAAAGGGCCAAGTGCGTTCTTCCTGTTTGATGTTCACATAGGGATCCACAGGGTATGGCTTTGTGATGCCCGGAGATCCTCCGGAGCAGTGGAGGATTACTTTCCACAAGGTACAAGGCAGGCTCAATGGTGTGCTTGACACTCGGATACCCTCGGCAGTACCCTCGGCATGCTTTGGTTGGAGGACCGACTCCACTTCGGGACACCCGGCCGTGTCTCTTTGGTTTGGCCTGCTGCAGCCGATCTCCAAGGACGGTATTCTTCATCATCGAGTTCCTGTTGCGCGTGGTGGTGCTCAGGCATTTGTTCAGCGCAGCGATGGAGGGGTCTGAGGGAACAATCATCTGCCGAAACTCGGCTTGCCCCCAAACCCCCTCTCGGAACTCAGGAATTGCACCATTTACTTGGCCAGAGAGGTTTCATTTGCAGATGTATGGGAGGAAACATTGAAGTACGTCAGTGTTGGTGAAGCTTGAAGTTCAAAGCGGCATTTGTTGCCAATTCATAATCTCCGAGAGCCTCCCCTCGGGGCAGAATCCACTCCAAACCCGTTTGGTCTTCGAGCAACCATCAACTATCAAAAAAACAAAACCATCTGAACAAAAAAACCGGGCCTGCTGCTAGACCATCTTGAGTCATTGAGATGTCTTGAGATGTTTTGAGATGTCTTGCCGCCATCAGATGACAGGGGGAACTACTTGATCTCCTTCATCGGATGGGTCGATGTGCTGTCTCTCTCAGCCTTTCTGTGGACCTTGACGCCCGCCAGGAGCGCGCTTCCCGGACGGAAGAGCACGGAACAACTGGACGGTTTTGGGACCAAGCAATGGACCTAAAGGACCGGACATCAACTCAACAGCGTCTTTGCTGTGCTTGGTGTTGTTTTATGACGCGGTTTGACCGTTATTGTCCAGTTTTGACAACGATCCGGACGATCCGTGATCCGTTTTGGGCATGCGTGACTGGACGACATGAGGGGAGGAGCACCCTTGTACAACGGACCGCGTGCGTTCAGGTGCTTTCTTGCTTTCGTGTCGCCACTACAGTTACTGGACACATCCGGGTACCAAGTCCTTATTGAGTGGATCCATGCTATCTTGTGCCAAAAAGAACAGAACAAAAGCAACTTTCGGTGTTCTCCCCGCAGGCACGACCAGGGTCTTCATCCCAATTACGAACTCAAAGGCCCGGGGGCAATGAAAGGAAGGTGGGAGAAGATGTTTCGCTGCTCACTTTCTGATCGTCTTGCTTGCTTAGAAGTGGTGGTAAGATGCACCACTCGCATGGGGGAAAAGTCATAAGTCAGAAGATCAGTTAGAAGAAGGTTTTCGCCCGAACAATTCATGTATGGAATATTTGCGTACATTAGCTAGGGTGATTTTAAGATGTTTCAAAGGTCAATGTAGGTAAACCGTAGCCTTCCAGACCATTCATCAAAGGGTGACCCAGTTTCTTAGTGAAAAACTGTCAAACAAACACTTGTCGCTGGGTAATCACATGGTAAACTACTATTTGATATAAATGAATCAAAAGGAGCGTCGGTCAGTCCATGTTTTTTCTCGGCCGTCTCGGCTTCCGTCCCGAAGAGCATAACCCCCCCCCACATAAATAAGAGGTGTTCAATTCAAAAGGAAGAGTGTCTTCCTGAATTCAAAAGGAAGAGTGTCTTACATTCAGGAAGACAGAGTGGATCACCCAAAACCCGATGTGTACCTCTTTTTCACCAGGGTGGAAAAGGTCCTTCACCGTTCTAACCTGATGCGCCGCGTTTCACGCGGTACGTGCGGCTTCACTCGCCTCGACCGTTGGGTGAGCCGTCCTGCGCGACGCGACGAACGGCGCTCCTTCGCATCGGACCCGAACGGAGCGTTCGGACGCGACGAACGAAGGCCTCTCGTTACTCGTAGCATTTTCGTGCGCCTAGTAACTTCGTAGTAATGCTCCTAAGCTACGACTAGCTTCTTGCTCCGTTCGTAGCGATGCCCTTGTTTTTCTAAGAGTGTGTGGCATAGTTCTTCTGAGTCGGTCTCACCAGTAGTTCCGAGGAAGGAGTGGGGTGCCGTTCCGCGAACGGAGGAAGGAGTTGGGTGCCCCTGTCACATCCACTCAGTTCCAAAACGCCACCTTTTTGTGATTGTGTGTGCAATTCCAAGCAAGATGTTGGCCTTTTGGAAAAAGTCATCCCACTTGCGATGCGAGCCACCTGTTCCAAGTTTGAATCTTCTTTTTGGCGCCTCGCCAAAGCTGCCAAGCTGCGCAAGACCCAAGCTGACACCTTTTGTTCAGACCCAAGACTCCCCAAAGAAATCTCGCCACAAGCTTTGTCCTATCATGTTTCACGCATAAGCCCCTGGGTCACACCAACCACAAAGCAGATATTGCATGATATTGCAAGAGTTTGGTTTTCAGACCTTTTTGCACCGTGCAGCCAACGACCTTTGAAGGACTTGTGACCCAGCAACCCCCCCCATGGGCGCCCGGCGACCACCTCCGTCGACACGACTCGACGGGATCTTCCGTCGACTCGCTAAATGGAGCGACGCCAGCCTGGAGCCGCGCATGGGTGGATCTCATTTTGACGTTGCGGCTGATGCGGCTCATGATGCTGGAGCCACTGGGAGTCAAATGCGAAGGACCAATGCGAGCGTGGTGGGCGTTCAGAACACCGGCCACTTAGGGAGGGAGAGGTGCCCTTTTGCACAGAAGCCAGGGCAGTTCTGTGGAGATTCGCCTCGGCAAGAGACACTTGAGATGGATCAAAAAGATCCTCTTGCCATCCGCCCTCCTACTTAAAATATCTAAAACATTCTAAAACCTTTTTTTTGACCCTCCTGGTGGAGGACGTCAGGGGTCTATTTTATAGCGGGAAACTGGGGGTGTGTGCATATATACACCTGACAGGCTTATGGAAAAAATGGGGGTAAGGAGCCCCTACCCAGAATCAGACACGGGGATAACACGAAAAGCGCGTTCTATGTGTTTGGTGACATGGGCTTCAGCGGGCTCCCGGTCGTTCCAAGGGCTGGCCACAAGCTTCGGTGCAGAGCTCCTCACACCGGGGCCCTTCGATGTTCACCTGCGTATGGCCCGGCGGATTTTCGTTGGCCATTTTTGGGGGGCTGTTTCGTTTTCCTATGAGTTTCCATCGGCTGCCGCACGATGCCATGTCATCCGCTTCAGCTTCAACAAAAGGGATTGGTGGCCTGGCCTTGCAGCTTGGGAGGCCACGAATCTCCCTGACACATCCATGGACTTCGTACCGAGCGCCCGACGCACCACGTCCACCGAGCGCCGCAGGTCGTGGACTCCGGCGCTGCAGTCGCTGGGCGACGTGGTATGGATCCGGGCGCCCGCCCTGCGCAAGGCCGGACGGTTCCGCGGAACGAACGGTGACCGGAACGGACGGTGGACGGAGGACGAAGGAAGCCGGTCCGAAGTTGGGACCGTTGTTGTTTTTCCCAATACTTTGGTGCTCCTGGGAGATGATGGAGATGTGTTTTCATGCAACACATGAGCAAAAACACTGCGCTAGTGTGCAGTTTAGATTTTGGAGAGATTGAACATACAATTATGAAGCCGGTTGGCTCAAGGGATTTTCTTGGTGAACGATACAGGTGTGAACTGGGTGTTTTGGATGCAAATGCGACGGAGTACAGAGTGAGCACTGATTGTAACGTGGACGGATGTGCTGTGTTCATTCAGATGTCATGAAACATCGACTGATGGCATACGAAAAGGAAAAGGATGGAAGAATCTATCAGTAAATATCACAAGTGGAGATATAGTGATTTCAGAGTAGATGATGGCACAAACCCAACACATGGGGTTCCATTTAAACCACTGACATTGAGGATTGTTGCCATCTACTCTGAAACCACTATCCACAAATTAAATTCTATTTTGACCCGATGGTTGATTGGCGACTCCCGCCAGGCCTGCTACGCGCTGGTGGCTGTTTGGTGCTCCAAGCAATGCATGAGCACCACCATGGTCCGAGATATCCCAAGTGTTTGGCGGGTTTGGTTCATTTGTGGTTCTAGAAAATTCAAGAGAATGTTTACAGATGTTATTACACTTTCACACGTGTGGACATGTACAGAACCATGCGATCTTCATAGCAAGCCTTTCTTTCACCTTCCAGGTACATGTTCACGGTTTGCCTCTATGTCATTGAGAAGGCTGACGGATTTGTAGCTGCGGAAGCTGCTCCGGATTCGGCACCTGACTAGCATGGTGCGCCAGACTAGCATGTTTTTTTCTATAGTGCTTGCTACGGTTTTTTTTTCCATGGAGCTGTGGCACTGCTCAGACGCATGATGTCAACTTTGAAAGCTCTTCCATCGCGCATTGATGGTTTGTGATCGGTTGAAAGAGCAACGGCAACAGCCCACCTTCTTTTCAGGTTGAAGTGGAACAGTTTGGAAACTGCAGCCTTCGATGGGAGACCAGTCGTTTCTACTCCGCGTTCGGAGTGCATTCCGCCCAAATCACGGGAAGCAGCAGGACTCGAACAACGATGTCTCGGAGCGCTTCGCCAATGTCCTGGTCGGTTTGCCCCACGGATTGATCCATTTGACTGGAGACCCTTGGCAGCGCACGGCGAAGCAAAGAGGGACCAGCGAAGCAAAGAGGAACAACAAGCTGAAGACATTTGAAGACCATCACGGCCAACCTGCATGTATATAATTTATGTTATATACACTCTTTACACCTTATTATATAGAGTAATCAGCTCGCATGCTGTTTTTGTTTGATCTTCAGTGTTCATCTTGAGCGGGTCCTATGTTCCCAACCGGAGGATCCACGTGAAGGAAGGCGCACAGAACCTCAGGGCTTGTGACTCCACTGCCAGCCCCCCAGACACTCCATGACAGATGGGACATGGCACATGGATCACTTGGGGGTGATGGCGGGAGCCAATCTTGGTACATATTCCATACACATTATAATATCACTTAGGTCTGTCCTACTTCCTGTAACATTCTGTAACCAATTATCAGTATGTTTGAACAAGAGCTTTTGGCAACCATCATCATCCACTGCTACTGGCGGGATAGACATGGATAGACCCAAAA